CAAATCTTAAAATATAAATTAAAACAATTAACAAAAAAAAATCGCATAAATAATGAATTTTAATCATAAAAATTATTAGGTATCATTAATTAAGATAACAAAGACTGTGGTTACCTTGATAATTGTTAAATCTGGTGTGATAATAGTTTTTTCGTTGTGGCGGTAAAATCAAAATAGTGCACATCAATCATATCATATCATTCTTACTTAATCTTTTATAACAATTTTAATACTTTTTTTTTTTTATAATAGAATTTATTAAAATCCTCTAAATTTGAATTTAGGAAAATTTTAACATCATTCCATAATCCATTTCTATGTGCAGTTATTAAATTATTAAAAATAAGTACAGTAGGACAGTAAGACATGTTACCAAAAACCAGTACTATCTTTATAAAATAAGTACTTCTGGTTAGGTTAATCTATTCTAATCAATTAATCTTGAGTTTCCTGAAATGTACGATATTATAACACGAAACCAGCGATAATTAATAATAAATATAAACAAATAAAATAAAATAATAAATTTTTTTTTTAAGAAAATAGCTGGTATCACATCAAAAACATTTATAACTTTATGAAAAATATTCCTGTAGTGACATGATATAATAAAGAAACTAAAGAAAATGCCATTTAGTAAAATTACCGATACCTATGACGACAAATAAAATCAATTGTAAAGTTATACACTTAATCAACATATTATTTATACAATGTTAATTTACTTACATTCTGCCAAGTAGACAAACAATATTATGTTGATTAAGTGTTTAACTTTACAATTGATCTTATTTGTCGTCATTCATATTTGTAATATAACAAAATATCATTTATTACTTAGATTCAATCAGTGGCGTATTTTGGGTGATTTCTCGGGGGGTGTCAATATTTATTGAACCTCACAAACAAAATTTTTAGTATTATTTAATATTTACTAATGTAAAAAAAACAAGGAACTTACTTTTTAACAAATTATTATGTCAGGAATTGACAAGAAGTTTTATACTTGAAATTCATGTAAATGATATAATAGACAAGTAGTAGGTTATTACTTGATACTGATTATTATTATTTATTTTAAAAATAACATTCTTATACCTATTAACATTATTTTAAAATTAACAGTTTTCAAACTAAAGTAAGTCTATAGTAAAAAATCTAAGCGTCTCTTCTTTAAACTTAGATGGTCGATCACTTCATTGACATCAATTCCAACTTCTCTGTGGATAGCTAGCATAGTTAAACCATTTAACCGCGCCTATATTTAAAAAAAAACATAAAAAACTCATAATTATATATATATATATATATATACATAAAAAGAATAAATTAACCAATGTTAATTTAATTGTGATATTGTGTTCCGCAAGTATGTCTTTACTCTTTTCAAGTTTGAAAATGACCTCTCACTAGATGCAGTTGATACTGGTAAAGTTGCAAAAATCTGTAATAGTTTAAATACACTTGGATAAACTTGTCTATTGCATAAAACTATTGCTTCCATGGCATTTCTTGGTATATTTGATGATTTAATATTTTCTAAACGTCTTTGCCATAATTTGAACTCGGCCAATAACACAGATTCTTCACATTCATTTAAGTCAACCATGTACTTTTGTGCCAGGCGTAAGAAGCGAGCTTCATTTTCGTCTGTTGAAATTAATGATTTGAAGTCCAATAATAACATTTTTTGATTCACAAACCTTGAATTTAGTTGATCTATAAATGTATCTAAATAAGGAATAAAAAAAGCAACTCGAAAATATGATTCTGGTGAATTTGTCTCAATATTTACTCTTTTCGTTTGTCTTCCTGTAATACGTGGTATGGAAATATTTATATCTAGTTTATTTGCTAAAGTCAATGCATTTTCAAAAATTGTATGAAATTCAGACTCAGCATTCGATCTTATAGTTTGAAGTACTTTTATTGTATCTTCCGCGAGATCCATAGCTTCGCCTAGATCAATATTTATTCGTTGAAGTTGTTTTGAAAGAGGTAGTCCATAACTAAATACTTTATTCACAATAAGTAAGCAATTAATAAAATCTCCTTTCAGTATTGATGTTCGTAAATTGCTTGCTTGTGATGATGTTTCAGTGTCATTCCACTTCGAAATTATAAATAACGATTCAATTACGTACTCGAAAAGCTCAAGAAAATCATTAACAGCATGAAAACGTTCAACCCATCTAGTCGCACATAATCTTTTTAATGTTTTTTTTTTGTAATACATTCTTGACTTTCTTCGATTTCATTTTTCAACACATCTTTTCGCTTCGGGTATATGAAGAAATCTCGAACTTTAGATATTGTTCCTAAACAATTTCGTATTTCTTGTATAGAACATTAATAAGAAACAGCAACGTTTAAAACATGAGCAGCACAATGAACATACGTCGCAAGTGGGTGAATTTGGCGAATATCTTGAACTCCGTTAAATTGACCGGAAATTGACGCACATCCATCGTAACCCTTCCCTCTTAGGTATTTTGTTTCTATACCAAATGAATGTAAATTTTGTATTATAATATCAGCTAAACCTTTTCCAATAGTATCTGTCGTAGGCACAAACTGAAGAAATTCTTCCTTGATAATCATATTTTTAACATCTAAATAGCGCGCACATAAAGATACTTGTTCAATTCCACTAATGTCGGCCGTTTCGTCAGCAAGTATTGTAAAACATTTTTGGGAATTTATGTTTGTTACAATTTTATTTAAAATAATTTTATTGCAGGATTCAATGATTTCATTTTGAAGTGTTGCACTTGTATATTTTATTGTTCCTTCAGCTTCCAAAAATGATTTCAAATGGTCATCTCCTTGGGCTCTATATTTCAATATTTCTCTAAAATTTCCTTGGTTTTGGATTAGTTTGTCATTTTCTTGTTCTACAATAATTTTCCCAGAATCTCGATGTCCCCTAAGCGGAATATTTTGTTTACCACATAAAATTACTGTTTGAATTATTGGAGATATGTTTTGTCGATTTTTCTAATTTGTTCAGCTCTTCCAGTTTCTATTTTGCACGCTATAGACTTTCCAGGATGTTTTATAACATCAATAAAATGATCTGAACGTAACACACGTGTTTTATGATAACCCTTGTTAGAATGTTCTTTGAAATCAACTATTGCATTTCTCCAATTATCATATTTTTTTTTTACTAATGCACCCAAGTTTTGTCCGTTATTTTCATTCGATTTAGAAAAGGCTACACAAATTCGACAAAATGCACCATTTTCGTTTTTGGAGTATGCCAACCAAGAGAATCTTAATAGCCACGAATATTGGAACTTTAAATATTTTGATTTATTTTGAACTTTATATAGTTTTTGTGGGAATTTGTAAGATATATTTGGCATCCAAATTTTTGTCATAACAATTAAGATGTCTTCATTCGATATTATATGGTTAATATAAAACCCAATATCATAATTATTACTGTCTTCGGTTAAAGAAATATTAATTGAGTCATTTGTATCTAAGCTTAAAGTACGACAAATTTTAACAGATTCAGTCGAGTTTACTGGCGAGGATGCTCGTTTATTCGTAGAAGTATCGTTGTTAGGCGTTAACTTAAAAAAAGAAGTTATCGATTCTTGCTTTTTTGTGCCATTTTTAGTAATATTTAACACTGAAATTAATGAATAGTTTTTAAGTTCAAATATGTGTTATAAAAATCAAAATCGAAACATATTACATTTTCTGTAAACTTATTAAAATAAACTTTTACAAACTTAGTTATAAATGACTTTTTTTGTAATACGTAACAACTTAGATATAACTGGTTTATTTTGTATTTTGAAGTATTATTTTAGAAAAATAATAAAAATAAAAATATTATTTTAAACATTTTAAATAATATTAATATTGTATAATAGTTGATAAATGATGACACTACATTGATTCGTTATTACTATGATTCTTATTAATAAATTCAGGGCTCAAAACTTTATGCATTAGTATATTTATTAGGAAGCTGCATATTAAAAATCTGATTCGATACAAATTCGTTTCATAGTAGATTATATCATATCATACAATTTAAATACAAAAATTAATGTTGCGTATTTAAGCTTTTTTCAGTGCATTTGTATGCACATATTTCATTATTTTTTAGTGCATTAAGTTCCGATCCCCGTTAAAAATTATTTAATTTATTGGAATAAATAAGTACTTACGTTATTCAGTAATCACTTAGTACAGTGGTGGTACGTACAGCACGTCGATCAACGAAAAAATGAATGACAATAATACCATAATAGTATAATAGTATTATTATTGATTATAAAGTAGATATACATAATAATAATAATATTATACTAGTATTTATTTTCAATATTATTAATAATATAATATATAATTCTCTAATCTGATAGACTGTAAACAGTGTAAACTTGATTGTCTTGATTTAAAAATAAACTACATACGTCCACAATATTTTCTTTGTTATTGTATTTTCGCTGCGGCCTGCGGGTTTAAGCTGTAGATAAATATCTAGTGTTGTCGAATCTAATCAAATTCATTTTAGTTTTGCCGTTTATATAAAAATACCATTTATTTTATAATAAAATAAAAATAGTTGACTATCAAATAAATGATAACACCATGTCCAATATATTAGGACTTTTTTTTTTTTAAGTGGGGGGGGTTGGTGGTCCAGACTTGGAGGACACCCCCCCTCCAAAAAAAAAATACGCCACTGGATTTAATATTGTATCACGTCTTTTAAAGGTTTAAAAAAATCACTAAATATAATGCAACTACAGGAATTTATTTTAACTAAGAATTTTTTACGCAGAGTTACATAAAAAGAAGTGATTTTGGTGTGATAATAATAAACACAAACACAGTTATTTATATGGCAAATGAACTTAGTACTTAGTTCGATAATAATAATATAAAAATATTAATAATTTAGTTGTTTTATCGTTTTATGACAGAACTAATTTTTCTTCTGAAAACAATAATAAATATTTTTTTTTTTTTTTTAGGATAGATTAATGAATTTTGTTGCGAATCAAGCGGCATTAACTGCAATTGAAACGTACAATGAAACATTAGATAATCCACATAATGAGGACAAATTAAGTTTATTTCTAAAACATTTAAATACTAATACACGATTTACAGGTAATTCAGATCATGAATGAAATTATAATTGTTATAAACAATAGTTTAAAATTAATTAAAATTAATTTGTTAATTATCATTTAACAAATTTAGGGCCGTTCTTACAATGTCCGGTTAAAGTGTCCGTAAAGTGTTGGTTAAATAACGGGAACGTCGTCGGTAAAGTACCGATTACCGGCGGTTATACCAATCCATTCTAACAACCTCTGATTAACAACCGTATAACAAATCGTCAGTTTAATACAAGTGATTCCCAAAACAACCGCACTTTAATATATTTTATTGTTCTACGCATGCGTCGTTCTTGAGTTATCAATTATTATGTTTGTTATCATTTATCAGCCACATAATTCGATATTATATTGTTTTGTTATTTTCTTGTCTGTTTGATTTTTTTAATTTTATAACGAGTTATTGTACATATTATTTAATTAAAACATGTCGAAAAATAATAATAAGAGACCTCGATGCAGTAATTTCTCTGCAACAGAAGAAAATACATTAGTTGAGTTGGCCGCAAAATATGCAAAAGTGTTAGAATGTAAAAAATCAGATCACGATATTTGGCAGTCAAAAATTGCTGTATGGATGAAAATCCAAGAAGAATTTACTGCTACTACAGGCAGTTCAAGAGAAGTAAGTAGCAATTAAATAAGTTTTATTTTGGTTGAAAGGTGTAGGTATTTAAATATAAAAATGTGCACAGTTCACAAATGATTAATTTTTAATAGGAATATTTAAGCTTAGTTTAGAGTAAAACAATATTGATTTATATACCCAGATACAAAATTTAAAGGGCAAGTATGAGAACCTTAAAAGGAAAGCCAAGAAGACGGAAGCGGATAGGAAAAAAGACATTTTTAAAACAGGTGGTGGAAGTGCACGTTCTACCGTAACACCCTCATCAACACATAAGTTGCTTTAAATTATGGGGACAGCTGCAGTAGGACTTAAAAATATTTTTGATGGAGACAAAACAGGTAACTTTTACAGGTTTCTATATAATTATCTTTGTTTTGGTACTGGAATGTTTGTATTAAATATGATGTGCCTATCCACCTCTGATAATACATTTCTTTTCTAATCGCATTACTAAATACATAAGAATTATCTAGTTTTTAATATTGCATTATCGTTGTTTATTTTAGGAGAACCGCTAGTTAATACAGAGGAGATAGAAATTGTTGGAGTAAATAGTTTGGATGATGAATTTATATATACATATGATGATGCAGTGAGTTATTTATTAAAATTTCTAATAGGTAATAGAGCATGTGGATGATCCTGAAACTGTTGTAGATAAACCTGTGGCAGTTGTTACAGCTGATACAGTGAATTATTTATTAAAATTATCATTTTTTTTAATAAGTCTTTTTTTTTTTAATATTTTACATTTCTAATAGGTAATAGAGCATGTGGATGATCCTGAAACTGTTGTCACAGCTGATACAGTGCAACAACAACATATGTGGGCCAAGTGGAATCCAGAGGTTTTAAAAAATAATAAAAGTGCGGAGTTAATGACCCCTCTTGCTATGAAAAAAAAAAATTAAGACCACTTAAGGGGACAGTGTGAAAAAATATTCATTAGAGAAGTTACAATTAATAACTACACAAAAACAATATTTTGAAAATGAAGAGAAAAGGTCTCAGGAGAAACATAATGCCGATGAATTGCGAGCTCAAGAAAAACATGAGTGGGAACGAGCACATTACAAACTAATGTGTGATAAGTTAAGGCTTGAAGTGATGGATTTAAAACAAGTAATTATTCATAATTTTGTGAATACAATGTTGGGCGCATGTGTAGATATTTAGTATAATATGTAATCAGTGCTCGAATTGTGGAAGTGCGCAGGGGGGGATATAATATAATAATATTATTATTTTATTATTTTGTCCCTATATATATTTTTTTTGTAGTTTACCTATTAATTAATTATATCATACTGTTCTTTGCCTATAATTTATTGTACTTATCTATTCTGTGGACTAGTATGAAGGTTGAATTAAAATATCTGTGTAGCTGAAAAGTGGTGTTCAAAATATAAGTAATGTTGGCAGGGGGTGTGATTGGTGAAGCCTCTCATGGGTTTGTGTAATTGTGTACTTGGAACTCAGTTTTTAAATCGTTGGACTGAGCTCATCTACTTAATTTTCCCAATTCAAGTACTGTGTAGTGTATAATGTATTATATAATATTGTTTACTATATCCTATACCTGTACTGAACTTCATATTAACTTTGTAACTTAACTAGTTGAATTTAATAATTTAATATGTAAAATTAATTTAACTTGTTAGGTTAGGTTAAATAATAAATAACTAATTATTGTTGTAGTTTTTTTTATTCATTTATTGAATTTTTAAATTTATTATTTTGTCAAACTTCCTATAATATTTTAATGACTGATTTTCCAATAAATTAAGATATTACCTATCTATTTGGAACATTTGATCAAATTATCAGTTGATAGTTGTTCAATTTAAATTTTCATTCATCACCAATAATTCAAGTTAGTTACCTAACTACCTATTTAATAATTAATTTATGTAATACATTACATTTGAAAAAATGTTTTTTATTTATTTATATTTTAAACTAAAAAAAAAAAACTAACTTCTAACTTCTACTTTCACTTAATTTACTATTTTAACCGAACTAACTTCTAAGTAACTAAGTTAAAAATTTGGTAAATGTCAGAAAATTACTTATATTCTAATTCAGATAGTTAAATTTTATATTAACTATATTTTCTATATTATTAATTTTTTGCTGGCATTTGATTAATAGGCAGTTGATACATAATTCTTATTTACAATAAGGCTGAATAAAAAGAATTAATAAACAACAAAAGAATATTGCAAATATAGAGAACATTTTTATTTTATTTTTAACAAAAAACGTAATAATTTGTATTATTTATATTACTATTTAGCTATTGTAAGAATTTGGTAGTTTGCTAGGCTACCAAAAGCTACCCACGACCAAAGGGGAACACTTCGGTCGTGACCTATGAGCCGCACCGCGTGTTAGCCCGAAGGCTAAGTCGGTGGAACTCATAGGCTTTGTACACGCAGTGGTGAATGAACACCAAAGATTTATTTAAAAAAAAGGGAAAAGAAGACATAATATAAAAAAAATATAAATTAAATAACAAAAGAAAGTTAGGGTAATCAGAGGTATTGTATTTTGCAATGATGCACAACGTGCAATAATAGATATTTGTGAATAATAATAATAATAATAAACTGGCAATTTCGAAAAAGATAATAATTGTTGCCTCATGGCAATTGTTACAAAAGAGTGTATTATTTGGGCACATGCGTTTAACACATGATAACATACGCAATAATGTTGGGACATGGCAGTCATGCGAGTATAATAAAAGTGGGACGGGAATTAGGTAAAGAATATATATATATTTGCTTTGGACTGAGCGAACCCACGGATCAGCCCACGAGGTTCGGCGGAACACATATTATTTTTATATTAAATTTTATTTCGCCAACCATAGGGTTACCGTCCGGCATATCGCTAAGGACGGTAAGGATGGGAGGTAACAAAAAAAGAAAACTGCGCCAGGCGCAACAGTTGACGCATCTTAAAAGTTATCCTAACGCAAATAAAAAGGAATATGGGGGGGGGGGGGGGATTTTAATACATTACAATATTTTTGATGGACGACGAGGCTGCTGACGGTTGACCGACGGCTGCGATGGGCTGGCCAGATGGCCGTCGACACACACGCGGTCGACATAGCCCGTCTGCATCGGTCAGTGGCTGAAAGTTGCTTCGCCCGACATCGAGCCCGTGGTGTCGTTTAGCACATCATGGCGTGGACACAGCGATATTGTAGAAAGAAAAACGAACTTCGCCGGGTATACATGTGTTTGTGTGGACACGTGGTTTGGACAGCTGAATTAACGGTGAGGCTGGGCGCACGAAAAAGAGCCACGACCGGTTCAAATGGCGGTGGAAAAAGTAGTGTCGGCAGTCCGACGGAGCTGGCTGGACGGTGGCCGGTGTTGATAGTTGAGATGTTGAGGTGGGGAAGTGCAGGGTAGGTGTATTGCGGGACTTTTACAATAATGTGGAATTTTGATAACTGTACTGCGGCGAGTGCACCGACGGACGCGACAAAAACGCTGGAGGTGATGGGAGGCGGGCAACCGCGGCACGTCGACGACGAACACTGCACGAGGACGGGGGGGACGGGGGACATTTATTGCATAGCACTGCGGTCATTTCTTCATTAGCGCGCGATATTCATAACAATATATGGATAAGGTATGTTTGTTAATGGTACTATAGGTACAGGTATGTTTATGACATTGATAATATTACTGCAAAAAATGCTGTGACGTTACACTATATAACATATTTGTACATTGTAAATTTTAAATTTCAATAAATATATATTGTATGAACATTTGTATAAATATTTACAAGGAATTTTACTCTTATATGATGATGCATCACATGACACCAAAATGTTCTGCTATAAGAGCATTTCTCAGACTAGAATTATTATGTTCTGGCTGGATAACATCTTCTATATCAACTAATTCGTTGGCTAATAACTGATTAATATTTTCAACCTCATCTGGTGGTTGTGGATCATTTGCCAACCGAGCAATGTTGTGAAGTATGGCACAGGATTGAATAACTGCCATTGATGTTTCCATTTTCAAACGTAGTCCAAAAAATAAGACAGGAAATCTTCGTTTCCAGACTCCAAACGTTCGTTCAACCACATTACGAGTCCTAATCTGAGATGCATTGTACAATCTTTCAGCTCTTGTTGTTGGATTTGCTATAGGTGTTAGCAAGTAATGGGATAATGCATACCCTGCGTCTCCTAAAATTACACAAACTTTAAACTCTTGGAGTTCCATTCTTGCTTTGAGCCTGCTATTTGCAAAAATATTGCTGTCATGTGCTGAGCCGGGCCAACGTGCCACTACATCCAAAAACTCCAAATTTGCATTAACCAAAGCTTGTAAATTTAGGGAAAAATAACCCTTTCTGTTTCTGTATTGTTCACCGTATTCTCTTGAAGGAGATTGCAATTTTATATGTGTACAATCAATTGCACCTATTACTTTTGGAAAACGGGCTAAACCATAGAACATCACCTTCACCTTCATTATCTCTGCTGTTGTTTTAGGCATTTTGATATATCTACAAAAACAAATTAATATTAATATACATATCCAGTGGCGCCGAACTATTTTTCAATAGGTGGTGCAAATACAAATTTCAACCACCCACTCACCCCTACATAGACACCCTTAAAAGTATTATTTCCATAGGGTCCAAGTACAATATCTATACATATCAAATGCAGCCCTATATAGGTAATAATTAGGGCTCGGATTTAAATGCCCTAAAAATATCAAAAAAAAAGCCCTTTCAAAAAATGCAATTATGACCTAAAAACTCTAAAAAAATGAAGAACAAATAGAATTCTAATAAAAATTATAAATTATACACAACACAACTAAAAGCGTCTGACAATCGGCCACGCGCACCACCGACATAATATTATCGCTCGATAAGAAAATAATCCGATAAAAGTTTAGTTGTGTGCAATAATATTGGCTAATTGGATGGTGTGACATAAAGATTGTAAAAACCGGAAAACCTGATGTTAAATTTTCAAAATTAAAATAATTTTTGTTACGTAGTACTATACTACTATCATAGTAGTACTATATAGTACTTATATTTCAATGAGGTCAATTTTTTTAGTCATAATACGACAAGTAAGTCAAAAATGTCCTAAAAAATTAAAAATGCATTAAAACCGTCAAAAAATGATGAAATCCGCTAAATATGCAAAAAAAAAAAAGCAAAAAAATGCCTCAAAAAATTATTGTGGTTAGATCGTGAAGTACTTGAAACATATTTGTAGCCTTTAATGGAAAGCATCGCGTAAGATATCCCAAAAAATTACGTAAAAAATTGGAAAATTTTAGAAAACTATCTGATTCAAATATTCAGATTGCGTTGTTATAAAACCAATAATGTAGAATAAAATAATAATAATGTGCTTGGTGTAAAGAATATTGGACATCAAAAAATTCTATGTATATATAATAAATGGTATATATAAATCGATTTTTACCGGAGATGACTGATAATTAGATATCCATAATAATATTCTAAAATAATAATTTTAATATAAATGCACCACAGTACGTACTCGGTACCACTGTACATATCAAAAAAATTCTTAAAAATCATCAAAGATCAAGAAACCCTATTGAGTTCTTTCTCCTTTCCAATTTATTATACAGTTACTTACTTATCACTTTTTGTAGCTAATGCATAACTGACTCGCTTTACAATTTATCCAGCAGCTGCAATGCTAACACCACTAAAGTCGCCTGCTGTAATTAGAAAATTCCCCGTTGCAAAAAACCTCAAAGTTAGTAATAATTGAGTCATTGGAGAAATGGCGTTGTTTCTGAAACGTTGGTTTTTAATATTATTACAAAATATTTCATTATGAATTAGATATAATAGTATGTCAAATTACCTGTTAGTGGGGTATTTTATCTCATCAAGTAATTCTTCCAGGACCATTTCAACTGTTTGCTTCTTTAAACGAAATCGTTTCTGAAACTCTACTTCGTCTAATAACTCGAAGTAATTTTTACGCTCTCCAAATTTTTTCTTTTCCCGAATCGCAACGTTAAAGTCTGCAATTTCATTTTCAAAGTCGGAAGAATCACTTTCTTGGTCGATTAAACCGTAATTATGAAGAAGTCTATTCATAATTTATTGTTAAATGTTAATTGTAACAAAAACTATACAGTATACTACGTCGAAACGCTAACGTCGAATTTAAAACAAAAATCAATAATAAAGAGTATTATTGATTACACAAACCGAGAGATTTTAGATAACCAAAAGATTACCGGCCGAATTTTGCCGGTTAAAAATCCGACCGTAAAACATCTGGTAACCGGAGACTTTTTGCAGAGCCGACGTATGTAAGAACCAACTGTCCGTTAAATTTTAGTAAAACCCCCGGTTAACACTAACCGATACTTAACCGGACATTGTAAGAACGGGCCTTATTCGGTTTATCCCATGTAAAAAAATCAGTAATGGAATATTAACTAAATCAAATTATTTATTAAATTATATTTGACTACAATTATATAAATAATCATAAATTACGCATAACTAAACCAATACCCATATATTCTGTATTCATCACTAACTCAAATCAATTACATAATGATTGACCTATGTATACTTTAGGCTTTCAGTTAACAGTTATTCCCAAATTACGTGTTTTATATGATATGAGTAAAAGAAACTTAATAGAAGAGCTTTATCAAGTAAGATTTGTACAAATTTAATTTAAATTAAACTTAAAATGTAGAAACTTTATTATTATTATTATTAATATAATGTCATAAGTGTAATAATAATATATGCCTTAATATTTTCAGGAATTAACAACACACAATCAACTTATCAACGAAGACGTATTACATTTAATTGTCACTTCGGTGTTAGATATGGACACGGAATCAGAAAAATATTATGCAAATATTCAAAACGTCAATATAGGTATGTGCACGCAAGTTATCGAGTGCGATAACTTCAAAATAGATTTTATGGCCCTAATCGCGACTCCTCTCCTCTGGGGTCGATGGCCCTTATTATTTTACATTATTTTGAGATTGATTGCCGATAGTAATGCCGGATTAGTAGGTCAACGGCCCTCACAATCATATATCTTTACAGAAATATAAAAGCCGTAAAGATTACGTACTAGATATTGTCCTATCTCAGGTGATATAGGGTCATTGGCCACTAATTCGGACAGCATATTTTTGGTGTTGTCAGAGCCACCGGCTTGAAAGAGAAGTCACTTCTCCGTGCGACGCTTTTGTGGTAACAAGCTGTCGGCACGTTGCCGACTCAGACTCGGATCGTCTTGTGAACTTTGTAAAAGTGTCCAAGTGTGCGCCAGCTTTAGACTCTTCCTTCGCTAAGTTCGGTTTTCTTGCGTGTTGCGTTTGTGCTTGTAAAACAAAACGTTTACACCTTTCGCGTTCCGATCCGTATATATATATATCGTTGTCGCGATCTCCGCACTCCGTTAAACTAATATATATATATATATATATACATTGTCTTGCGGTCTTAGTTTGGTATTGATGCTTTGTCGTCCTGATCATCGCTGAACTAATATAATATTATATCGCGATTTCCGTCGTGTAACGATCGGTCAGCATGTGTGAATTGCAAGTGCTGTCTACTATCAATTTATTATCACTGTTTTGGTTGCCCGTTGTTTTGCCGTCGCGCACAAGAAGAAACAGCTGACCAATGGCCTGACTGTCGCCGTCAATTGGTCACCTACCAACGGCAATATTTGCATTGGAACGGAGTCACGTAAATACTGTCATTTTTTTATATTTCTTATTATTATATATACAAATTGTACCACGACTTTGTTAGATCGTGTTTGTCCGAGTATTATTATTATTATTATTATATTATTATCACCACGACGATAGTGATCATAATATCATTTATTCTATTATCAATTATTGTGTAAACTGTAAACACTTCGTCGTCGGTGATACGTTAAGTCACACGTTATAATATTTTATTTTGTAATCCATACGTGTTAAATACGACTCGAATGTTTATATTTTGTATGGCCACCTCTCTTTAGGCTATTCTCCACGTGTATTCATCTTACTTCTTTCGGTGGTGTAGTCATCGAGGCCGACCACTGATTTGTAGGAGCCTCGTGGCTAAACAGGTATTTACAGAAATATTATACTATCTTAATCATCCAATTATTGCTATCAATTAAAAAAAACCCGTATTAATTAAAATAATTTTTTATAATAGGTGGGATTAGATTTAATACAGTTTTTTTTTTAAAAACAAAGTTCCTACGTATGTTTAATGTTTAGATCACTATTTTTGACAAAAAAAAAAAAAAAAATTGATTGTTATATTTTTATAAATATTTTAAATAAATGCTATTTATTATAATTAAAATATTTATGCTTATATATACATTATTCAAAATAGCAATAGATATTTAAAATTAAAGCACTTCGATTTTAATAATTTTAAAATTACTCTTCAATATTTTTTTATAATTCTTTTTATTGTTAATTTATTAACACAAAACATTGAAGTAAAGTCTAAAAAATGAATACATTATTTTGATATTACAGTAAAAAATGTATTCCATCAACATTCAAACGTATGCTAGACAAAACCCAAAAATCAAAAAAAAATATTTTATAAAGGAAGATAATACTTAACCCATTTACGCCCAAGGTTAGTTTTTGTGAATAAAATTGATTTTTCTACTATAAACTTATATTATTGGAGCCAAATGTGATTGAAAAAATTATAAAAAAAAAAAAATTATATACCATACAAGAGTTATTGAGTGTCCTATATATAGGACACTGGGCATATGAACAATTATAAATATTATTATGTTTTCATATACAAATATCAGTCGCGTCACGCCAGTCGTGCAGTGCACACGTATATCGCTATCTCAGTGTTATGTATAACTTAGCTATCCTATATCAACGGAATCATACGGGCGCTTCACCTTCTGAAGCAATTAATCGTGTTAAATTGACGTCGTAACCGCAGAACTGTAAGTCATCGACACTACCCTTTTCCGAGGATAGTAAATATAAGTTTCTTGTATTAAAACAAAAATTAATATAAATTATATTATTTCGTATTATTGTTCAAACCACAATATTATCAACAACTAATTTAATAGAATACAAATTCTATACTCCAAGGCACCGTCGCGCACGGTGACCTTGGACTCCGCGATTAGATAAAACCGTCGCATCATGTCGCATGGCTGTTCCAATATTAATAATAAACCCGTATCGCCAATTACAATTATAAACAAGCAACAGGTAATCAAGCAAAAAAAAAAAGGCCTCAACGCAATCAAACAAAAGATCCCTACTTACATCTACAACGACACCAACAATGCCGCCCAATGAAACCATAAAAAAAACAAAGCTTTTTGCCTCTCCTAATCGCTATAGCGCTCTCTCCAACAATGTTGAATCTGACGAAAATGACGTCCCACCTGAGTCACTTAGCCAGGAGCCATCTGATACCATCACACATGCATCAACGAAAGTGTCATTGCCGCCCCCCATTTTTATCAAAGGCGTATTAAATTACTCAGCCCTACTCTCCGAACTAACAGAACTAATCGGGCCAAACAGCTTCGTTTGTAAATCGACATCTTCCCATTTAAAACTACAAACCGAAAAATCTGATGATTATAGAAAAATAATCCATTTCCTAAACGAAAACAAAGCATCATTCCATACATATCAGCTTCAATCAGAGAAATCTTACAGAGTGGTCATAAGAAATCTCCACCCCTCTACCCCAACTTCAGATATCTCCTCGGCAATTGAGGAAATTGGGTTCCCAACTAGGCAAGTCACAAATATTAAGCATCATCAAACAAAAATGGCTCTTCCCATGTTCTTCGTTGATCTCGAGTCTGACCCCTCCAACAAAGACATCTTCAACGTCAAGTCAATCCTGCACACATTAATCGAAGTCGAGGAACCTCACAAACGCCGCGATATTCCACAATGCCTTAACTGCCAATCTTACGGGCACACAAGAGCTTACTGCTCCTACCCTCCACGCTGTGTCAAATGTGGTGAGGGCCACTCAACTTCAGTATGTGGAAAAACGCCTGACACTCCCGCCACCTGCGCGCTGTGCTCCGGCAGTCACCCAGCCAACTATAAAGGCTGCACTGTTCATAAGGAGCTCCAAAACCGCCGCCGTCACCCACTCTCCACAACCAAATTCACCCAGAAACCTCAACTAAAGCAGTCTCTTCAATGCCCTGCTCCATCAACCAGTTCGCCATCTTCCAATCTTCAATCAAATACGCGCCCCAGATCCTATGCAAATGTAATAGGTAGCGATACCACTCATAATCAATCTTGCGACTACCATTCCCCCAAAACTGATATTAATGTTTTCTCTAAGTTTCTAGATGAACTTAAATCTGTTATCAATCCTCTAATTACTCTCCTCGCCTCTGTCATTTCCAAGCTCCTTGATACTAAACAAAATGCCTAGCTCCTATACTTCTAACTCTCTCCTCACCATTCTTTGGAATGCTAACGGGCTAAAGAACCACACTAATGAACTTCTCCTCACCCTCCAAGAAAAAAGAATTGACATTGTCCTTATATCCGAAACCCACTTCACCTCCAACTCATATGTCAAACTCCCTGGTTACGATTCCTACCATGCAAACCACCCAGACAACACTGCACATGCAGGAGCAGCAATATATATAAAATCTTCACTTAAATACATACCACTCCCAAACTTCATATCTGACGATATTCAATCCTGCGCAATATCTCTGATACTTAATAACATCCCTATCACATTCGCAGCCGTTTACTCTCCACCAAAACACAAAATCTCCCCTGCCAGATTTACTGAAATTTTCTCCACATACAACAACAATTACATCATAGGTGGTGATCTAAATGCAAAACATCAACAGTGGGGCTGTCGCGCCTCAAACCCTAGAGGAAATTCTCTCCTACAATCCCTACTAACTACCAACTCTACTGTCATTGCACCTCCAAATTACACATACTGGCCTAACTCCTGTCGAAAAATGCCAGACATCCTGGATATTTTCGTCACTAAGATTCCAAAAAATCTCCACACCCAAATAATTAATCTCATTGACCCTTGCTCAGACCATTCACCAGTCATGCTCTCGCTAGACTGTCTTCCACAAGCTAAAGTTAACCCCTCAGCTCTATCACAATTTCCAATCGACTGGGACAAATTTAGTACAACCCTATCTGAAAAAACCTGCCTTAAACTCCGCCTAAAGACTTCCTCTGATATCGATGACGCAGTAAACCTACTCACAACTAATATCCAAACCTCTGTGTGGGACTCAGCTAAACCTGTACCCTTGCACGTTAAACCTCCCCCTCATCACCCCTCCTACATACGAACTCTCATCTCACAAAAACGTTGCGCTCGGGCTATTTGGCAAAGAACTCGATACCCTATTGACAAATCCCATTACAACGCACTTACCCAAATGTTGAAACGTCTCCTAGCTAACCTTAAATCGGAGTCCTACGCAAACTATATTTCTTCTCTTACTGGCATAGACGGCTCCCTATGGAAAGCCACCAGGAAAATACTACGAATTCACAATCCTCCCCCTACCCTACGAAATGCTGACAGTAGCTGGGCACTGACTGAACAATCCCAAGCCAACATATTTGCCAACCACCTATCAAACACATTTCAACCACACCACAATATTATCTCTCCAACCAAAATCCAAGAAGTCGAAAGCTTCCTTAGCTCTCCTCTTCCAATGTATCCTCCTCCTAGAGCTTTTTACCCTAGTGAAGTTGAATTTAATCTTAAGAAAAACTCACCAAATAAATCTCCTGGATTTGACTTAATTTCAGCGGAAGTGGTCAAACACCTTCCCAGAAAAACCATAATTTTTCTAACACAAATTTATAACGCTATGCTTCGGTTATCATACTTTCCTATATTATGGAAATATTCTATTATAATACTCATACCAAAACCAAAAAAACCTCCTGACTGCCCTTCCTCATATAGGCCTATAAGTCTCCTACCAACTCTCTCCAAACTATTTGAAAAACTCCTCCTCAAACGAATAATCCCAATAGTTGATGAAGCTAAAATACTACCAGACTCTCAATTCGGTTTTCGCTACAGTCACTCAACGATCCATCAGATACATCGCCTGGTTGACAAAATTTCATTTGCCCTGGAGGAAAAATTATACTGCACTGGTGCTTTCCTTGATGTCTCCCAAGCATTTGATAGAGTCTGGCACTCAGGCCTCCTTTATAAATTAAAATCTATCCTTCCTAGCCACTACTATCTTATCCTCAAATCCTACCTCGAAGATCGGTTCTTCTCCGTACGTGTAGGTTCTTCCTTCTCCTCTCCTACTGAAATAAAAGCAGGCGTACCTCAAGGCGCAGTAATTGCTCCCCTACTCTTCAATCTCTACATCTCTGACCAGCCTACTTCACCCCATACCTTAGTCGGTGATTTTGCTGATGACAAAGCTATACTAGCAACCAGTTCGGATCCTGTTCTAGCCTCCTCCTACATACAATATCATCTCTTCTCCCTTGAATCGTGGTACAAAACATGGGGCGTCAAAATGAATGAAACCAAATCCATCCACGGTACTTTTGCACTTCGTCACGGTGTATGCCCAACACTTTACCTCAATAATCAACCACTCCCCCCCTGCGCAGTGCATACATTACCTTGGTATACTTATTGACCGCCGTCTCACCTGGAAACCTCACATAATAAGCATAACCCGTACACTTAACGACCGTCTCCGACTCCTACGTCCACTTCTAACATCAAAGCACTTGAAACTCTCCAATAAGCTCCTGCTTTACAAACTCCTACTAAGACCCATCTGGACCTATGGGATTCAACTATGGGGCGCTGCCAAAATTTCCAACATCAACCGCATTCAAAGATTCCAATCCAAAACTCTACGTACCATTCTAAAAGCACCCTTCTATGTCTCTAACCACACCCTCCACTCTGACCTAAAAATTCCATTTGTCTCCGAACTAGCCAAAACTCACTACAAACGTTTCAATAGCCGCTTAGCCCACCATAAGAATCCGTTAATCTCCAATATTTCATCTGCTTCTATCCCAGGTAGTCCAGTTAAAAGACTTAAAAGACAGTGGTGTCGTGACCTGCTAGCCTAATTTAGTCTTACTCATGTCGTAGTACCTCCGCTGGGAGGCCTCTACACTCGGTCTAATCTGTCGTATTTATTTTATTTTATTTTATTTTATCTAATTCATCAATTGTTCTTATTGTTCTATTTTATTGTAACAGATTGAATAAAAAATCCTTTAATAACAAAAAAAAAAAAATATACAAATATACCAATAAAAATAATTGAAATTTAATACTTTTAATTGATAATTAATTATTACAGATTATATTTAAATTATGATAATGAGAGGCTTACAATGTATATTTTTTGAATTTACTTAGGTACATACGAACATTATTTTGTGTGATATAAAACGTTACATTTTGCGTGGACACCAATATTGCACTTCATACATCTTGTCGTTGTTTTTTGATGACATTAACCACACCGTGTTTGAGAGTCTTGGGGAATCAAATAATGTTCAAATTTGTCATATCTTATTTCCATAATAACACTGGATGGTTTGCCTCCACTTCTTCCTGGAGTGAGTTCTGTCTTGTAACGTGTCAGATATGAAATAACTATGCTTCTTCGAAATGCCAATTGATCCATTTTATTTTTATTATACATCCTATGAAGTTGCCATGCATTTTGAACGGCTAAGTCTATAATATATAGAACAATAGAAGAGTACCATTTTTTACCTCTGATCCCAATACGATATTGTGATATATTTTGGTCCATTCGATCTACACCACCCATATTTTTGTTATTATCAGAAACGATATTTGGTTGTGAAATCCGTAATCTTTTTTTTTCGGAAGTAGACCAACGGTTTGCCATAGAAATAGGATCTGTCCCAATAGTATTTGAAGCTAAGCAAACAATGTTATTATCACGCCAACAGCAAATAAAAATTGCATTATTTGAAACAAAACTACAGCTAGACCCTCTTGGTTGTTTTTTCATTTTTCTAAAATCAATTGGACATTTCATAACTCTGTTTGACCGAATTGTACCTGTCGCGCGACTGTTGATAGATTTGAGCTTTTCCAAAAGAGTGACACCCGTAAAAAAATTGTCAAACACAAAATGATATGGAGCAGGTCGATGGTTTATAATTTGGTTAGCATAAGCTAAAATAACAGATCCTCCTAATCCGACATCTGTTTGGTTGAACCCGGTATTTTTTCCTTGGTAAGGAGATATCCATAATGCATATCCTAGACGCTATGTCCCAACCCACACTTTAAATCCAAAACGAATTGGTTTTCCTCGGATAAATTGTTTGCATCCATGTTTACCATAATATGGCACCATGGATTCATCTATGCTATGAAATTCTTCGTGAGGAGCGTGCATTAGGAATCTAGTATTTATCGTAGTAATCAACGGTCTTATTTTTGCATATTTATCAGAATTATCCAAGTTGTTGTTGTTTGAAAAGTGAAGATTATGAAATATATCGTCAAATCTATTTCGCCTCATAGCATTGGACACTAAACCATTATTTGTATCAGGGGCCTTTTCCCAGTACATACGTCGCCGAGACATTTCATTATACCCAGATAATAAGAGAATTGCAATAAAACATTTCAATTCATTTTTTGTCAAGTCCAAGGAAATATTTTTAGAAGAAGCATAAATGTTTGTATATTGTACAATAGAATCAAAAACTTGATAATCGAAAAATAATTCAAAAAGTTCAAATGGCGCAAGTGAGCCATATTTTATTTTACTGTTTTCATCTGAATCCCAAAGCTCTGTTATTTTAGGAGTCTCTAAATCTCCTTAACGCCAAATTTAAAGTGAATCTTTTTGACTTTTTTTCTTGCCCACTACAACCCGATTTTTTTTTGTAGTCACAACTTTTTTTTTTTTTTGATTCGTAATTGTCGGTGTTGAGAATTTCTTTCGGTAAAATAACATTAGCTTTCAATACACTAGCAGGTAAATGGTTTATATCACCTGTATGTTCATCGTTATCGGAGTCTTCGTCAGTAATATTTTCATCCGGAGATTCTAAGAAAATAGTATCTTCACTCAGCTCATCTGCTTCCAGCAAATTTATAATATGATTCACACAAAGAGATCTAAAAAAAATATACATATTAGGCCACAGAATATCCCAGTGACCTACATGTAAAACACTAATATTTAAATGCAAATAAATGAAAAAGTATGTGGAATAAATTAATTTAATTTATAAAAATATAAAATGTAAATAGTAATATATATATGATTGTATGTGTTTTATGTATAAAAAAAAATCTAAAATATAGTTGACTTACTTTGACGATGAAGCCATTTTTCTATTTGAACAAGGCAGTGTACAAAATGTTACTAACACGTAATAACGTTCGACTATACAACGCAAAATAATATCATCGGGTCGTTTATTATATTATCTAATAGCCTAAATCGATAAAATGGGGAAAATTCTAAAAATAAAATCGATAACAATAATTATTTCCGGTGTCCTACATATAGGCCACTGGGTGTATATGGGTAAGCCGTCACTTCTATTAATACTATTCCAATTAATAAAATATTTTTTTGAGACTCATTTTCATCCACAGAGATTTGAGTATTAAAAATGCATAATTTAATCGACATAGGTACAGTTTTACTATCTACTAGGTTTTACCAAAAAAATTGTAAATGCAATATTATTATTATTAATATGTGCGTAATAAGGTGTTGATATGATCATTCATCATTGTGTAAAATATATTCTTTAATTGGCTTAGTTGTAACCAGTTTCATCACGTTCTTCAATACTTTACGCACCCACTTAAATTCAAGTAAATGTTCTTAAAAATATACAATAATGAATATAATATGCAATATAAATTTAAAAAAAAACGATTTAACGTATTGTAAGACAAACTATCCTTGAGTTTTTTACGTTACCTAATTAAATTTATATTATTACAACATAAATTTAAAACTTATCATATAATTTTTATTTTTAAGCAATCAAATTACTTATACTTTACGTCGAATATCATAATATAACAAACGTAAATTCTGCGTATGATTACAAAAGAATTGAGTCAAAAGTAGAAAATTATGGATCAATAAAAATTATATATATTAACATAGCAAAAACAGAATATACGACGACGGAATTTAAAATAAAAAATTATTTTATCGCCAATAAATGGTTAATGGAATTATTTGGAGTAATTAGTAAAAGTAACGATGAAAATAAAGCAGCTTTTAAGAACGTATATTATAATATAATACAATTGGTAAACAATGAAAAACAATTCCTGAAAACTAAAAATTTTGAAAACGATCAACATTTTATATTTTTAAAAGCTAAACATATGAGCAAAGTAATTAATCCTATACTATTTAATATATTTGTAAATAATACTAAAATGTTGTGATATTTAATTTTATTTAAAACACTTTCTATGAATATTAGAACTTGCGTTATAACTCGAATGTCAAATCTAGTAATATCTAGGTAATAATAAGTACATTTTATTAAACACACTAAAGTAGTGCCAATGATTCTTAACTATCAGATGTAATTTTTCTCCCTAGATATACCATTTCCTCGTCTTGCTCCATTTTTTGACTATCGGTGTATACATCAGCTTTTACTTTTGGGTTTCTGGCACAAACTATTATTTTCATTTCTGATGTTCTGAGCATTTTATCCGTTTCTTCAATTGCACGCTGTATGTTCTCGTCATCTCTGCTATTATCACGATGTCATCGGCAAAACGTATCATTGAAACAATTTCTCCACCAATTTTGATTCTAATATTTAGTCTTTTTAGCTTTGTTTCAATTTATTTATAACTTTTTTGATGTAGCAATTAATGATTGATGGTGATAATGTATAGTCTTGTCATACTTCTTTTTTTATTTGAGTGTTAGTTGTAGTGATTTCTCCTTTTTCAATGCAAGCTGTCTGATTCTTATAGAGACTGTAGATCATTCTTAGGTCTTGCTGTTCAACATCTATTTCTTGTAGTGTGAGCAGCATTTTATTCTAATTTACTTTGTCAAAACCTTTTTCTGGGTCTATGAAGGCCAAATATGTAACTTTAATTTTACCGATCTGTTTTTCAATTAAAATTCACAGTCCTAAAATTGCTTCTCGTGTACCTTTTTGTTTTCTAAATCCATATTGGTCATTTTTAAAGTACTGCTCCACTTTTTCTTCTATTCTTCATTTTATTATTTTTGTTAAGATTTATGAGGCATATGTCAGTAGACTCAGTTTTAAACTTTTCACAGGAATTTGCTCCACTTTTCATTGGTATAATTCTTGGTATAGTTCATCTGCAACCCTCCTTTCTCATATATATCCCTAATTAGTTGGTACAAAGCGCCTTTTATCCTCATGCTTTATACATTGCAATAATTCTGCTATTTTATTATCTGCCCCCCCCCCCCATGCGTTTTATTTTGTTTCAAGTCATAAAGCCTTAAATTCTGATCTGAAATGGGTAATTTCATTACTCCCTCATTTGTTGTCATTTCCTCCAGTTTTTTTCCATTGTAAAGCTCTTCAATGTATTCCCTCCATCTTTTTATTATGTTTTCATCAACTAGTAATTGTCCTTTGTTATCTCTCATATTAGAGAAATTTTGTTTTCTCTTTCCAATTAATTCTTGGATCCTGCAATACGCATAACTTATTTTGTTAACATTAAATTGCATATCAATTTCGCCATGCTGTTGTTCCAATCATCTTATTTGGCTTCTTTGGCTTCTCAATCATCCTGATTACTTCGTTGGGAAAAAAAAACTTATTTTATCCTCATCTTTTATTATTGTTTTTATATTTTCATCTTTCATCTATAAAAATTACTATTTCCTTGTCTATCCATGCTCCTTTTCGTTGATTCTTATCTTTTTTTGTTAAAACATTATCCACCGCATTTATAATAGTTGATTTTATGTTATCCCATTTTTTATTCAAAGGATCATCGGCATTTCCTTTTTGATATTCACAGTCCATGTGGTATCTATATTGTTCCATTATCTCTGCTCTATTAAGTAGTTGTTCTGCTGTACTTTTGGCTCTTGTGTTTTTTATATCGGAATTTCTTTTTAATTATAACTTTATTATTGTGATCACTGTCACAATCAGCACTCCGGTATATTTTACACAATTTAACTTGGTTCTTAAAGCAATTTATCACCATTATTTAAAGTTTTTGGTAGGGGGGAAACGTTGCCTGGCATTTTCCGAGTGTATATTCTTCTCTTGAGGTATTGAAATCTGGTAATCGTTATAACCATCCAATTTATTCTACAGAACTCTACTATTTTCTCTCCTCTTGCATTTATTATTCCTTAGCTGAAGTCTCCGATTTCTCTACCTTCCACGCATTTACCAAATATAGCATTAAAATATCTTATCATGATTACATTGTCGTGTGGATTGACATATTTCAAAAGCTCCTCCATGCCAGTTTACACTTCTTTTACTTCTTCATCATCTGCTTTTAACGTTGGCCCGTAAACCTGTATAATTACCAGATTGTTTGATGTTGATTCCTTTTTAACTAAAAATAATCTGCTACTCTAAGAATTCCAACACCGGCTTGTCCTTTTGTACTATTTTTATGGATAAACTAAAATCATCTGACCAAATCTCACCATTGTCTGGCCAACGTATTTCGCATAATGCTAATTTGTCTATATCTAATATTTTCATTTATATTTTTGTATTTTCAAGTTTTTCTGTTTTCAACATTATTTATACGTTTCACGTTCCTATTCTCTGCTTTTATGTATCCTGCATGGTATATTCCATCCAGACATTCAAACGGGAAGCTATTTTATATTCGGACAACATTTTTACACTAGAGAATCTATTTTAGAAGACAAGAGTAGTAGTTGCCTATTTAAGGATGTTAATGAGTTGGTTTCCCTTTGCCTTCTAAATCTCAACCGAAACCCATTTCAAGGGATTGGTGGCCGAGTGTAGATAATCTTAATTTCTACACCTAATATTAGAAACACTGGTTACCTAGGTTCTTTTCAGTCGGTTCTTACGTCAGGCACGGACTACCGAGAATGTATTTTAAATCTCACCCATAGGGGCAAATTAGAAATTAAAAATAAATATTCACTATTACCTATAACCTGTTACAAAAACCAATTACCTATCTCATAAAAAACTACTGAGAATTTACGGTTTTTTTTTTTTTTTTTAATTCTTCTTATAGTAACTCGTGAATAGATAGTTATTTGACTTATTTAATACTACAACCAAAATAATTTTACACTAAGAAATTTTTAAATTTAATTAATTATTAATAATTAAAATAATTATTAAATGATTTAAATTTGTTAAAAAATAATTTAGTACCTATTTAATTTTTGCCTCGTATGTTCTTAGTTATTAAAATAAAAAATTGTTACTTCAAAGTCCCACAAATAACAACTATAACTATCAACTAAATATAAACAATATTATATCATAAACATTTTTTTTAATCAATCAATCTATCTTAATTATAATAATTGTAGTAATTATTAAAAAATTAAATATATCCTAATATATGATATATTTTTCCCGAAAAATTCTCTTAGATAAAATAATTTTACTTTTAACGCTTTAAATGAGCTATAAAATTAATCACGTAACAAAATTTTATTTACAGATTTTATTACATTTAGATGATTGGGAAAACTTTAATAGGCCTGGTGACTGGATTCTTGAAAAGTCAAAATATACATGCCTATCAAGAGTGAACCATCGCATTATTTATAAACTACTATTAAAGTTACACACATTTTCGACATGGCGATATGTAAATAAGATTGAATTTCTCACCATATTATTTAGATTTCATCGGAAATTTACAAAAAACTATGATTTAATGTACAGTTTAATAAAAGATGCAGTTTCCGAACCAGTCATTACTCCTGAGGTATATTTTTATTAAAACTAATATTTTTTTTTTCTTATTTAACTATTACTTTACGGATTTTAAAAACATTCCAATGTTTTAAAATAAAATCTAAAACAATTAAAAAAATATTTTGTGTGAGCATGTAATGAATAATTCATTCATCGAATAGCACTCACTATTTCAACATCAATTAAGGTTTTTGAAAACATTGTTTTCGCTTAATATCTCCAGTTAAAGTTATTTTTAAAACTAACTCATATTTTTTATCATATAAAATTTTAAGTTTTTACTTTTTTTATCATACATATTTAACTTTTTATTATCAACCAAAATATCTTTCTAATTATTTAAATATGTAACAATCAACATTTGGACCAATAGTTTTTGAATTATTAATATTTAAATTTTTGTAAGCGGAATGATGAAGTATGGGAATACCTCACAATTTGTTAATTTCTTATGCTACATACTTAAATTTCACATCGATCGTAAAATATGTTATCCTACATTGTTTTTATGAAATATTTACTATATTATAATAATTGCTTATTTCTTAAGCGCGTTTCATAAAAATTTTTTCTAAGTTTTGGGTTAATTTTGCATGTTCTATAAACTTTTTTTTATTTAATTATGACACCTTGTCATTCTTGATATTTAGTCTAACAGTACACATTTTCCATTTATATATTTTAATCAAAGTTTTTAAACATTCGACTTTTTCTTTATTCCTTCCAAATGAGGTTTTTATTACTGAGCAGCAGTATATTATCGAAAAAAGTAAATAAGATTTAAAATAATATGCCAATGTTTACAATAGATTTTTATATACACTTTTAATTTATATGATAAATTAGTTTATTAGGTCATACAAAATTAAGCCATGTCATTTTTATAATTCTCGCTTTTTTAGTTTTAGCTTTACTAATCACTATTTTTAAACACAGCAATTATGATTAATTTTAGGACCGTTTGAGAAATTTAGAAGCGCATGAACTATTTTCTATGTTTTTGATGGAGCGTAATGAAATTGCAATTACAAAGGTAAATCATGCATAATGCTTTTTAATGATTTTTGAATATTGCACATCGTTAAAATATATTTATGAATTCCTAAAAATGTCCACGTTTTTGGTGAATTTTTTAATTTATCTTGTATATAATTTTTTGAAGTAGCAGTCATGGCAATAATTTCAATATAATTTTTTAACTTTGAATTTAAAGAGCTTAATACATAAACATATTAAACACAATATCGACGTGCAATAAAATATGTTTTATGCATCACTAAATTATTTTAATTTTAAGGACATAATTTTTTTTTTTTTTTTTTTAGGCGAAAGAAATAGGTGCCAGTAAAGCTTATAATACGTTTTTGAGGAATCCTAGATACCGTAAAAAGTTATAAGAAACACTATAATATATTTTAATAATTCATAACAGGTGATAATTTATAATATCTAATGTACTGAAATACTGAATTGTAATTAGTAATTACCATGAATAACAATAACAATATAAATGATTATTATTGTGGTAATTTGTAACTAACAAATTGGTATAATAAATAACAATAAAATTATCAAGTATTAAAAAAAAAAAAAAAAAAAAAAACAGTGAAAACATAAATTCAGCTAAGTAGACATAGTAAATTAGTTTATATTACTAGGGATAATTTATATATTTTTCATAATAGGTTGATAGTTTAAGTACGATTGATGGTATGTTGAATTAAATTGTTGAAAAAAGGTTCATGATGTATACAGTAACATTATACTTCAAAAAAGTTTGAAGAGATTAAAATCAGTCTAGTTACAAAAAAATCCTAATAACTGTGTTAAAATCTATGCAGTTAACATGTAACGAAATCAAAGAATGCGTAAATCTATAATCATTTAACCTGCTTCTGGTCGCATATTTATTTTATTACAGTTGGTTGCACAGGATAAACATTTTTTATCATATGAAACATACTTAAATACTTAGTTTTGATTATTATATAATTTACAATGAATAAATATAGTTATAACAAAACCACTTCGTTGAACTCTGTGTTAAAAATGGCCAAGTAAAAAAAAAAAACAGATCACTATAAAGGTGTGATATCATAAATAAATGCTAAATAAATTTAATTTTATTCAAATACACTGTTTAGTTTCAAATTTTAATAATTTGTATACTTAGTGAGAAATTTTTATGAGTAGAAATGTCCATTGCAATATTTTAAATTTTAATGAACTTCTTATTCCTTTTGTTTATATTGTTTACGTATTTCGTGTACGGTGCTATTTAAAGTACTTACATAAGTGTACTTTAATTATCTAATTTAACTAAATATTTATTTATGACATCATAACATTATAGTTTAAAAAATAATAAAAACTGTTAGGTCATATAATATTATTAATATTATTATTATGTGAAACAATCTAAGCAAACTTCTATTAAGTGATCTCTACATTAGTACTGTAGTAACCTGTCGCTGTCACTTGATCGTAGTTACTGCAATACTTCTTTAACGACGAATGCACAATGTCGGTACAATGTCGTAGTTGAGGAAGAGAAGAGGTTTATGTTTGAATTAGTATTAATAACAAATATTAATATTTACTTTAAACAATTTATTGAATATAAAATAACTTTAAAATATAAACTTTTTAGAAGTGTTTCGACTTAGTATTGAAATACTAAACCGGAGAGAATATGTGTGTGGAACGTTTTCCTAGAGGCTCTTGGTAAGCATGGGTAAAACGTTTGTGTATGAAATACTCTCTGTAGCTCCCTGTGAAGAGGGCTCCTATTTATATGAGACATGCCGTGATTAGGAAAGGAGGATTGACGTCAAAAAATGTTCCTAATCCAATCAGGTAAAAGCATCAGTGGTCCGATTAGGTGGCGTGATATAGTTTTAGACCACTGGACTTTAGACCTACGTTTTTATACTAAAAACATCGGTTTACTACAGTACACTTTATATAATTGGTGCACACATTAATTATTTTTTGTCTTTCTCTCTTTCACAAAAAACACATCGGTTCGAATTCCTTAACTTTTGACAGAGCAGTTCTCTTTCAACCAAATTGTACGAAAACATTTTGAAAAAAATATTGAATATATAAATTATTTTATTACCGTTACATAATATTTAGAAGTCTTGGTTTTAGTTGTTTTGGCAAATTGCTAATAATTGCCATTATGTACTTTAAATGATCCTCCATAAGCTTCCTACCTAATGTTTTCAATAATTTCAAGCGTTTTTCTTGATTCACAATTATTGAATTTAGTCCTTTGATATTGAGTAGAGAATAAAATACTGTAAGAGGCTAATATACACTTTGTCTTATCTCACTGTTGTTTTTAGTCAACTAATCTAACTCATTAAAAATATTACTAATATAACTCACGCTAGACATTGACAGTTATGTATCCGTATTCTGGTCACGAGGTTCATATTATCATCATTGTCATCACTTGAAATCTGTCCTAATAAATTATCTTCTTCAGTGCTTTCTAATAGACACGTGATCTACCGTCACCCAATTTTGTCCATGTTTTTTTTTTTTTATATAATAAGAATCAAGAGAAAATGAGATTGAAAAAAATGTAAAATAAGAAATTACTTTTCGGTCGCACGAGATAAATATTCTCCAAACGGATAAATAATTGTTCTTGACAGGCGTGTACCGAATAAATTTAAATGTTTTTATAGAAGTAAATGTTATTATCAAACAATGATATGATTTTGATAAGCTTATCGGAGTTACGAATCCGTATTATATATAATTATGGAAAAACAAATAAGTATTAATACATTTGGAGATAATTAATACCCCGCGAGACCAATGACGGGTTAATTTGTTCAGGGAAACTCATCGTACAGATCAGCCAGTTATAAACTATTTGTGATAAATTTTTATATCAATATGTTCAAATTACTGGATTATTAATTAAAATAACTCGACTGATTTGGTATATCAATGATTTAAATCAGGGGTCGGCAACCCGCGGCCCGCAAAGCAATTTTTGATAGCCCGCACAAAGGTGGTTAATTTTTGTGTTTTACTTTTGTTTAATAACATTTTTCATATAATTTTCAATATTATATAATTCTTTTTCCTTTATAAATAAAATCTTATCTAACCGTTTCATAATAGCAATACAATTATAAGTATTATATCATAATATGTAATATTTTTTTTAATGTGGCCCTTGATGAACAATTGAAAAAAAAAATGGCCCGTGTGGTTAAAAAGGTTGCCGACCCCTGATTTAAATAATAAATATACTTGTATTCTACAGTGTTCTTCTAACCTAAGCAAAAATTGCAGAGTATGGCATAAATGACGCGTAAATGTATATCTTTACAGTAACTTTATCTTCACAAAGAAAATGAAACTTTTGAGTAAACATTTGTGATTTTCTTTTTAAAACAACCTAACTTTTTTTGTTTTGGGACAGAACTAGTTTTGACTAACATTTTTTGTTCTTTTAGGAGCGGTTTATTCATAACATTAATTAAATTGGTATTCATTTTAAACCGTAAGTCAAATAAAAATCAGAACAATTTAAATACACTTGTTAATTGAATTTTCTACACCCTTATTTATCCAGTGCGTTGATAATTAATATGAACAAAGGGTGACTCATAGCAAAGCAAACTGTCATTAACGAGTAGAGCCCGGTGTGCGTGCCGGTCGTTGTGTACTATATTGGTACCTATATTGATATTGTAGAATCTATTTTTTTATAGTTCCGGGGTTTTGACGACCATTATTATCGTTTCAAATTAAAAATAATATTAATAAGTAATAACTTTATTAATTGGTGTGTGTGTTTACGCTGTTGCGAAGGACCTTTTTCGGGAACACGATTGTGAACGCTTAAACTTACCTTTAATCGTACGGTTTTGCCAGATTAGGTGTTAGATAATTACAAATTTTTAAATAATTAATTTTAAAATAATTAAATAGTAGGTATAAGGATTTTCTGCTATTGCGCTATCAAAACAATATGCATAATCCTATGGCCAAAGAAGATGAATCTAAAATTAGATCAACATTAAAAATATCCACAAAGATCTAATTTTATATTTATAAAAAACTGAAAATTCCTAACTAAGATAAAATTTTAAAAAAAGAAAGAAAAAATGTAGAAAAACTTTTTAAAAACTATTATTTTTATTTTTTTTAGTTTATATATTATGTAACAGTATTATTATTATTTATACTTCGAAATTGTTTTAATTATCTAACATTTTAAACACTTCATATTATGTTGTATAATTTTATTTTAGTTTTTAATGTAGCTATAATGTGACATTGTATTATTAATATTGAATATTTTTTATTAAAAAAAAAAAAATTTAATTGAATTCCTAAACAAAATTAAATATATTTAGAAATTGTAAAATTGGCATCGTAACCTATAAAAACTTTTTCAATCATTAGTTTTTCAGTTAAAAATACAAATTTTTTGATAACTTATATTTGTTTACAATTGTGTTATAAAAAAAGGTAAAATGTTCGCAATCGTGTTGCACCCGGTCCGGCCAGTCCGATCTTGTTACAATATGATCAACTTACCGGATTATTAATTTATTAATTAAGATATTAATTACTAATTGCAATTTAAATATACGCATTATAAAATATCACTTATAAATGTAGGTAGAAGACTTTAATTGAACAGAAAGTTTTTCGTTTGCATTGATTTATCATTCAATTGACTCAGGGTGAGTTGCGGGCCCACTTGTTTTCGGTGTTGATGACCGGTGAATTGCGGCACGGTAATATTTAAGGTATAAGTTAGTTGCGGCCCGACAATATCTTACCTACAGTTGAGTAACGGCTCGAGAAGTAATCATTACCTAAGTTATATATACATAACTATAAATAAAAGATTCGCCATGTATATAGGAAGTTATGTAATATATTAAAATCTCGTGTCACAAAGTTTGTTACCAAACTCCTCCGGAACGGCTGGATCGATTTTCATAAAATCTTTTGTGTATAGTAAGTAGGTCTCAGCGAGTGATGTAAACTATTTTTCATACCCCTAGGTGTAAAGGGTGGCACACCACAAATATTTATAACAACTGTTGGATATCGGCGATGGAAAATAATAAAAATAAAAAATAAAATATAAAAATAATAAATAAAATAAGATACTATGATAATTTTATGAAAAAATATGAAAACGTAATCTACGTAAATAATTGTAAATATATAATTTATAGTACCCTGGCAACAACTGTAACGAATTCATCAGAAACGACTCGACCATTGAATGGGTCGGTCTAACACAATAAGCTTTCTCTCTCATTTATAAGAAAGGTTAATAATCATATAAATGAACTTTAATGATATCGATTTGTGTATTTTGTACAATGCCAACAAGACGCAAGGAGTCTGATTTGGCCCGTCGAACGACCAAAAGTACAATCATTCGAGATAGAAGAGCACAACCGAATAATGAAAATGTACGTGTGAACATGGTGAGATTGCGTGAGGCACAAACTGAACAAAATCAAAAAAGACGATTAGAAGCGCGTCAATTCGTAGTTGACACACGCAGAGCAAATGACCGACAACGCCAACAAGTACATAGAGCATTTACATCCAATTCATTCCTTCGTCTAGCATCCGAATATGGGCCCGATATTAAAAATTACGCTTATTCGAAAGTAGAGATTGGTGCTATGGACAAGGAATGTCCGCATTGTAAATGCGCTAAATTCAAAAATGAGCCAGTCGGTATGTGTTGCGCATCAGGAAAAGTGCAACTACCGTAAATTGAAACACCACCTGAACCATTGAACGGTTTACTTATCGTTACGGATCCAGATTCTAACCTGTTCCTGAAGTCAATTTAAACATTCAATTCATGTTTCCAAATTACATTGTTCGGAGCAACAGAAATAGTTAATTGGTCGTATAATAGCATATAATTATATTATATTATATTAATTATAATATTTGTCATGATACATATGTTGAGATCTTACAATCATACACCAACCCGGACTTGAATACTATCCCTTCTATTTCAAACATGAAGCAATTTCTTCAAATAATCTTACATCCCATTGCCACGTATATATTACATATATATATATACATTTTATTGTATGACCGCAATTCGTACGTACCACTCATGAACCAGGGCCGCAATTCGTACGTACCCTTTATAAACCCGGGCAGCAATTCGTACAAATCTCTCATAAACTCGGGCGCAACTCGTATACGTTATTTTGGAACTGTGCCGAAACTCACTAATACCGATTCAAATTCAAATAATACATTTCCCAATGAATACACCATTATCTGTTCAATGGCGATATACATTCGACATATTTAATATACTTATATAGACAGCAAGAAGAATTGTTTACATTTTATTTTAGGTATATTACAAATCTACTTGGCACTTATAATTGTTCACATTTCTTATTTTTTTACTGTCATCGTATGTTAAAATAAAATAGTAACTTTATTCGTTGTAGATAATTAACTTTCAAAATTAATCATAGATTATATCTTATAGGCATGTAATAATAACTATAAGTAAATGATTTCTTAAAATTCAAACGATTTTAAATGTTAATAAATCTTTTACATTATGTTACAGAATAATTTGGGTTCTAAAGATTTATCTATGACTAATTCAACAGATGAATAAAATTAATACTTTATAGTTACTTTAATTATTAATTAATCACTATATACTATGTTGTAATCTTAAATTTCATTTAACTATAACATTTTATATTCAATTAAATTTTCCATAATATATAATATAATTATTTTTTTTATGAAATTGTAGAAAAAAAATTGAATATTTTATTTTTATAATAATTAATTTAAAGTAATATGTTTTACAAGTAATCCCTCAATTATTGAAAATGTTAATATAATTCAAAAATGTATTATCAATATTCAATGGTTAATTTATTTATGTTAACTTCATAGTTACTTTTTCACTTGATATGTTGAAACTATATTTAAAAGCTTATAGAGAAATAGCTTTGCATTATTTCATGATATATACAAATAATTATTTGCGTTTATTGACTGCCAGTTTGGAAGGATGAAGCTTGTAGTGAGTAGCTCCGTTTAAGTTCATAAGGGAATGAAACAATTTGTTTATTGTTGAGTTAATGTTTTCATTTATTGTGGGGATTTCCAAGTCTTTATGCAGTGCTTTGTTGTGTATAAACTAGAGATGTGAGTGCTGTAAATTTACCAGGTAAATAATTTTAACCTAACCGTAAATTTTACCAATTTTTTTTTTACCGCTAAACTTTTTTTTGAAAATGGTATTATTATTTCTGGTTTATACGCAACAAGCGCATAGGGCGATCCCCACAATGTGAAACATTAAAACTACAACAATAAACAAATTTTCATCCTATACTAAACTCTACTGCACAGTGTCATATTTAATTGCGAAAAACGCAAATATTATTGATATCATGAATATCTACAGTTATCTCTATAAACTTTAATATAGTTTCCTATTGAAAGTATATCGAAAAATTGACTTATAATAACCATTGAATACCTTGATAATGCATTTGACATATATCAACATTTCAATAATTGAGGATTTTCGTCAAACTATTCTTGTAATTATTATTCAAAAGTAAAATATTAATTTTCTAATAATAAACGAGCATATTATATTAATATGGAAAATTAATTGATATAAAATGTTAGTAATATAAATTTAGATACAACTGTAGTGATATGATTAATAATAACTTAACATATAAAACTAGTAATTTCTGTCGACCAATTAATCATAGATAAATCTTTAAACAGAAAATATACCACTGTTTATAATGTAAGATTATTAACTGACTCGTTTGAGCTCAATTGTGTACAATACCTACTCAAATATAATCTATAATTAGTACGAGGATCAATACACTCTACAACGAACTAAAGACCTGACCCACATTTTAACATACGATGACAATATAAGAAACTCGAACGTAAGTAAAACTATTTATATACCTAAACAAAATAATAATGACTTCTTCTCTAATATATGCTTCTCTTTCCTGAACTCATTATTCGTGAAGCTAATATTGAGGCCAATCATCAACACTATTACTCTTTGTGCTCAGACCCTTTATGAAAATTTAACCGAATTTCTACTAAAGTACAAAATACGACTGGTTGTAAATTGGTGCGTGCAATTGCGGTCATACGACGAAAGTGCTGTAGCAATGCGGCTTC